CCATTACTCATTTAATTTGATGTAAATTTCCCCTAATTTGCATATTCAGATTCAGTATTCAGTACCACATGTGAAAGTGACCCAGATCAGATTTGAAAATATTGGATTTGTGCCGTTCACACTGTCATAGCATGATCGGATATAGGGTCGCATAGGGTCAAAACAATCGGATTTAATGCGCTTTCGCCTGCAGTGTGAATGTAGCCTTAGTTAGTTCTTAGAGTTTGGTTTCTGTGTTCCCCTCTATTTAGTGTCTGTACCGTGTCTCTGTGCATTTCCTGTTTTATTGTGAAGGTCCATGTCTTATGTTAGTGTGTTCTGTTCACATTTCCCCTGTCTCGTGTAGTCAATTAGGATCAGCTGTGTCTTTGCCATTCCATGTCCCCCCTGTGTGTATTTATACTATGTGTCCTCGTGTGCTCCTCGCCGGTTCATCTGTGTTTTTTCCTGCATCATTCTGTGTCGTCTCCCTGCATCTCCATTTTAGGTTTCAGTTCTGTGTTGTGTTAGTTTTTTCCAGTTTAGGTTTCACCTCCTGCTGGCCTCCTTCGCCCGTTCCTAGATGCCCCTGGACTCATATCGCACTGGACTTCATCACTGGTCTCCCACCATCCTCAGGTAACAGTTATTCTGACCATCATCGATCGGTTCTCCAAAGCTGTGCATTTCATTGCTCTGCCTAAGCTCCCATCAGCTCTGAACACCAGCCAGATTCTTACACAGCATGTGTTCACGTTCTGGGTTTGGAGAGAGTTTTGCAAGGAACTAGGGGCTCAAGTCAGCTTACCATCCGGTTTCCATCTCAAACTAATGGGCAAATGGAACAGGCAAGCCACCTTGGCTTTCATACCTTGGCTCAGGCGATTAGAGGATCATCAGGGGGTCCTTTTGTCCCTCTGTGGGGGGGATACTCCCACTAGGTTTAAATCTGGGACTCCCCACCATTTGATCTAAGAACTGAAGAAGCTTCTCGGATGAGAGGTGATGAGAGGTGAAAAGTCTTCAAGCAACTTAAACAAGTCCAGACGCTTTTCTTTGCAAGCTGATTTGACTACGATGACCTGGATGACTGAGAACCTTCACAGACATAATAAACACAAAGTTTTTGTTCTATAACATTTTTCTATCATTGCTTTATTATGGATTAGGTGCAAGAGTTGTTAAAATGTATAATTAAATAATAGATGAATTCAATAGCAAACTGTGCCTCGTTCTCAGATGGACAGCAAGTGGAATGTGATAGATGAGATGAGGAGATGGAAGGAAGAAGAGAGGCAAAGAGTGATTCACAGGCAGAGCTTAGTTTATTTCCCAGTTTTGTTGCCTTATGGTTCCAAGCGCCGTGACCAATCTTTGCGTTTTATTATTATCTCATAACACTTGTTTAATCAGCTACCCTCTCTCCTGTGGACTGTTTAATCTCTACAGTCTCAGATCAACACAGCCCTGCCCTCCAGCACTATCAGCAGCAAGAGCAGAAGCAACCCCCCAAACAGCAACATTGTACCCCATCAGGTAAAAAATGGGCTACGTTTGCTTTGCATTGTGCCCACCTGATGACAGTGATGTAGTGTGATGTGATTCCATATTAGATTCTTGATGAATGTGGGTTGTTGTTCTTCAGCCTGCTTCTATGTGCCCTTTTTAACTGTGAGCACCCGCCCCTTTAAACATCTCTGCACTGCCCTGACTAAATGTATATATAAACTGTCTCTATGGTTTACAGTCTGAGTCTGACAAGCTGTCAGCTGTTCATTTCTGCTATTTGAATTGTTAAAAGAAACAAACTATTCATTTAGCAGATTAACAAAAAGAATAGAGAGGCATCCAGTTATTGACATTTATATTATTTAGTTAAAGGTTTGAACAAAAAACAATTAAACACAGAGCCTCTTCCTGCTTTCTGGAATGAATCGCAGCATGAAAACCCTTCCTCTTCTTCCTGCTCTCTAGCTAAGCACCTCCTGTCTGTCCATATCGTTCTGTGTTCCCTCCCCTTTAGATCTACATTATGAAGATGGGTGTAACCAACGTGTGTTAGAGCTGGCAGGCCCCATTCACAGCAGCAACACTTGTTGTTCAGATCAGACCAGTTTCTATATTAAGGAAGTGAAACTTACACAGTCACTGACACTGAGAGGAGAAATGGCGCAGAAAGGAGTTCAGCTAGACCGAGAAACCTTCTCTTGTTCGATCTGTTTGGATCTACTGAAGGATCCAGTGACTCTTCCCTGTGGACACAGCTACTGCATGAAGTGTATTGAAAGCTTCTGGGATGAAGAGGAAAAGAAGAAAATCTACAGCTGCCCTCAGTGCAGACAGACTTTCACAGCGAGGCCTGTCCTGGTGAAAAACACCATGTTAGCAGTTTTAGTGGAGGAGCTGAAGAAGACTGGACTCCAAGCTGCTCCTGCTGATCACTGCTATGCTGGACCTGAAGATGTGGCCTGTGATGTCTGCACTGGAAGAAAAATGAAAGCCTTCAAGTCCTGTTTAGTCTGTCTGGCATCTTACTGTGAGAAACACCTTCAGACTCATTATGATTCACCTACATTCAAGAAACACAAGCTGGTGGAGCCCTCCAAGAAGCTCCAGGAGAACATCTGCTCTCGTCATGATGAGGTGATGAAGATGTTCTGCCGTACTGATCAGCAGAGTATCTGTTATCTCTGCTCTGTGGATGAACATAAAGGCCACGACACAGTCTCAGCTGCAGCAGAAAGGACTGAGAGGCAGAGAGAGCTGGAGGTGAGTCGACAAAACATCCAGCAGAGAATCCAGGACAGAGAGAAAGATGTGAAGCTGCTTCAACAGGAGGTGGAGGCCATCAATCAGTCTGCTGATCAAACAGTGGAGCACAGTGAGAAGATCTTCACTGAGCTGATCCATCTCATCCAGAAAAGAAGCTCTGATGTGAAGCAGCAGATCAGATCCCAGCAGGAAACTGAAGTGAGTCGAGTCAAAGAGCTTCAGGAGAAGCTGGAGCAGGAGATCACTGAGCTGAAGAGGAAAGATGCTGAGCTGAAGCAGCTCTCACACACAGAGGATCACATCCAGTTTCTACACAACTACCCCTCACTGTCAGCACTCAGTGAGTCTACAGACTCATCCAGCATCAATATCCGTCCTCTGAGCTACTTTGAGGATGTGACAGCAGCTGTGTCAGAGGTCAGAGATAAACTACAGGACATTCTGAGAGAGGAACGGACAAACATCTCACTGACAGTCACTGAAGTGGATGTTTTACTGTCACAACCAGAGCCAAAGACCAGAGCTGGATTCTTAAAATATTCATGTGAAATCACACTGGATCCAAACACAGCAAACACATGGCTGTTATTATCAGAGGGGAACAGAAAAGCAACATTTATGAATCAACAACAGTCTTATTCTGATCATCCAGACAGATTCAATGAATGGTCTCAGGTCCTGAGTAGAGAGAGTCTGACTGGACGTTGTTACTGGGAGGTGGAGTGGAGAGGGAGAGGAGCTTATGTAGCAGTCGCATACAAGAATATCAGCAGAAAAGGAGATGAATCTGAATTTGGATATAATGACAAATCTTGGTCATTAGATTGTTACAACAACATTTTTACATTTTGGAACAACAACAGATATATATTTTGGTACAACAACATTAAAACTCCTGTCTCAGGTCCTCGTTCCTCCAGAGTAGGAGTGTACCTGGATCACAGAGCAGGTATTTTGTCCTTCTACAGCGTCTCTGAAACCATGACTCTCCTCCACAGAGTCCAGACCACATTCACTCAGCCGCTCTATGCTGGACTGAGGCTTTATTATGGAGCCACTGCTGAGTTGATTAAAGTGAAATAGACTGAAGTCTTTCATATTGTTGTAAGTTTAAATCTGTATTTTAGTTCCCTTTTAGTTTCTCTCCATCATTATTGTGGTATTTATGTGCTGCACATAAATCAGATGTCAGTCAAACATTATGGGCAGTACCTCGACATCTTCAACATGTTGTCTTGATGTTTTTACGTTTTATAGGTGGAGCTCTTTCCTGTGTCTGTTCAGCCATGGAGACTATCAATGCTTATGGATATTTTTATTTGAAAAATTTCTCCACATGACAACATAAACTTCTCTATCTTCTAAATGTTTACTGAATATTTTTCTTAGGTATTTGTATGTTGTTGTTTCTCTTCACTGATCTTAACAGAGAAGTCTACAGACCTTCCTTTATCACACAGATTTTATTCTCATTTGTACATTTATAAAGAAAACAATTAATTACAGAGCAATAAGAAATTTTAAGAAAGTGCACTATATCATAATTTATAGTAAAGTGTATTAAAGCATCGTTAGTTAGTCACTTATTTAGTTTGGAGCTGTATCATCTGACACTGTAGAAACATTTCCTCCAGCTTCAGCACAGAATGTTAAAAACAGAACTATTAATGAGAACAAACAGTAGGAACACAGTATCAGCAAACATCATGGCTTAAAATGGAGAGTAAAAATCTAAAAAGAAATAAACAAATTAGTAAAAAGGATTTCCTGTTGACATGTTATTGGTCCTATCTTGTCTGCAGCACCTCCAGGATGCTTCTTATATGTTTCTGGTTATTTTTGCACCAATTTTAGTTTTTGTCAGTAGGAAGTTCAAGTTCAACTCAGTGTGTTTGTTTGTTTGTTTTTTTCAAACTGATACCTGACCTTGAACACCAAACATCTGTCAATAAAGCAATGATATAAAATGCTTATATTAGTACTGAAAAACTGCATATCCACTTTACAAATATAAATAATGATATAAATCCACAGCTGAACTGGAGGAGCAGCTGATCTAGTTCACTCATGTGTTTCTGCATTAAGAGTTGGAGCAAATACCTTATGATTCAGTGATGTTTGTTTTTGTTCAATATTTTGTAGATCCAAGAGTGAGTTTGACTCATGATGATGATGTTCCGAATTAAACAAAGTTGGTCACAAATTCTTCAAAGCTGTTTATTAAGAATATATTCGCTTGGACTCATGAGACAGGCTTGTGATCCAAGGGAGCCATCAACTGGACAATTACTGACATGACAACAAAAAAGCTAAGTACAGAGGGGGGAACAGAGGTGAAAATACTTGCTTTAAAGGATTGTAATGTTTCCTTTTAAAATAAGTCTCTAAGGTCAGACAAAGGGACAGAAACTCATAGCTTTCTACCAGCCCAATGACAAAACTATAAGTTGTTTTTTAACATCTACTTTTTCATCTATTTGGCAGTCACAGTGAAAAGTATAAACATTGGCACGCTTTGTCTTGTGATTCTGCTGTTCGTAAAAAATGACCATGCGCAAAGTACCAGACTTTAAGGCTTTGACTTGATGCCAATGGCCTGAGGAGGACAGTATTACCCTTGGACATGTGTAGTCTGCCGTCTACTCAATAGAAGAAGAAGAAGCGCGGAAATGGCACAACTGTCTTCAGTTTCTGGGAGAGTTTAACAATGAGAGACTGATGATGCAGAAGAAATCTCCGTGGTTAAAAACATTAAAAACAGTCGTCCAGGATGATGAGATCCGCCACTGGCTCAGACTGCTGTATATCAGCCGGAGACCCGAGATGAAGTCACGCAGCAGGTATGTAAAACTGTGATGTTCTCAATGAACTAACACAGGAACGATCTGAGCTCAGTCTGTAAGCTAACAGGCTAAAATCAGAGAGCAGCTAATCAAACAAGTGCGTCCGTTTTTTTTAAAGGTAAACTTTTAACAATAGACTTTCATGAGACACATCAAAACCAAACAGGGAGGGAAAGCTTCGGTTTTCTGCACTGTGCCACAGTTCGCTGTCTGCTTCGGTTCACGACGCCTCACTCCGGGGCTACAGACAGTTCTCTGCCGCCTGTGGTGCTCCTCACCTCCGTCTGCACCCACAGACTTCCCGAGGTGGAGGCAGGCCGGCAGGGACTTTGAGAGATGGGCTTTACTTTTAAAAATAGCCCTTAATCAGGGTCTAACTCACTAAAAGATGGCCACATGTCTCTCTCCAACTTAATCTCTTTCTTTTAAGTAATTGTTTTTCATTGAAATGAAATGAATTGTTCAATAAAATGATTACATTTATAATTGAATTAAAGTTAAATGAATCAAGGTGATTTTGACTTTGCTAGTTAACAGGAAGAGAAACAAACTTACACAGGATAAAATGAAATTTGGACCCAGCAGAAAAAGTCAGATCACAGACAAACAGAAACATTCCTCTTTGGCTAAAATAAAATGCAGATTATTGCTCATCTGCAGTTTTAATCATGGTGAATAATTTATGATTCAGCCAAGTAAGATTCTTCTGTGTGGAGGTTTTTCCCCTGTCAAAAGGCATTGACCATTACCTTCATCTAAACATGGAATTTAAGTCATGTAGTTGCCGTTGTTTGTTTTTAAAGAGGTCATAATATTTTTGTGATGGTAGAAATTTATCTTCAAAGTAATAGTTATAAAGTGAATTAATAAGACTTTCCAACAAAGAGAGGGAGTCACATGGTGCTTCTGAAACATTTGTACAAACCTCTCTCACATATGTGAGCAACATGCTCACAGTGTACAGCCCTGCTGACTGAGGCTGCACCTTTACCTGTCTAATCTTTTTCTTTTTACTTTGTTCCTCAAGTCCCACATCAACATGAAGTGTAAGGAGGAGGAAGATCTGGCTGGCCAGCAGGTCTGGAAGCAGGAGAGGAACTTCAATCTGGACCAGGAGGACACAGATCCCCCACAGATCAAAGAGGAACAGGAGGAACTCTGCATCAGTCAAGAGGGAGAACAGCTTGTAGTGAAACACGAGGATGAAGGCATCGTCGTCTGGAGCGGGGAAGAGCGGCTCAGACAGCTGCATAACATCTGGAAACCTGAGAAAGATTTACAGACCAGCGGTAAAACTGTAATCGCTTTTCTGAAGTGTTAACATTAATATTAAACCTACAGTTTGTATCAGTCAGATCTATTTAAGGGAGATTGGTTATGGCGTCCACCTGAGTGGCAGTGAGACTTCGAGCTCCGACCTCATCGTCCTTTGCCTACGCCCAACAGCGGTTAAAATCCAATCTTTTAGCGGCTGCCTCACCGACTTAAGCTTCTGTTCTGATCTAAACAACCAAGATGCCGACCAAACATAGGTCCAAGCCTAAAACAGCCGGAAAGGATGGATCAGACGATGACCCTAACAACGAACCTGAAACCGAGAAAATGGAAGGCGCTAGTGCTAGTGCTCAACAGACCGAGGCGAGTGTTTTGGCCGCAATTCAGTCGTTGAAAGTACATTTCACTGCTCAACTGCAAGAAGTTAAAATATCAAACCAAGAAATAAAAGAGGCGATTGGAGTGTTTTCGGAGAGGCTCACCTCCGCAGAAACTCGCATCAGTAAAGTTGAAGACGACGTCTCTTCCCTCGTAAGTAAAGAGACTTCCCTTCATAAGAAAATTCAGGAACTACAGTTAAAGGTGGACGACCTCGAAAATAGAAGCCGGAGATCTAATCTGAGACTCGTCGGATTGACTGAGAATACTGAACAAGGAGAAATTACAATATTCTTGCAAACTTTCTTAATTGATGTTTTGGGACGAGACGCGCTCCCATCCCCACCTATCATTGAACGAGCACACAGACTACAAGGGCGAAATACTCCAAATGGCCCACCCCGTGTGATCATCATGTAATTTTTGAATTATCAAGACAAGATGAGGGTGATGAGAGCGGCACGTCTGAAGGGAAAAATAACGCACAACGGACATCACATTATGTTTTTTCCTGATCTGTCAACGGAAGTCCAGAAACAACGGAAACAATACAACCAGGTAAAACAACAACTCCGTGAAATGCATATAAACTTCGGACTGATCTTTCCAGCAAAAATGAGGATTCTCCACCATGACAACAGGCTCCTCTTCCACACACCAGCGGAGGTGGAAGATTTCATGCGAAAAGTCCGGCAACAAAACGAGGGATAAACTTCACGCCCACTCAGAAACGCTACATCAAATATATGCAACTCTGATGAACAACTCCAAACCGGACATATAACGGCTGCTGGTGTACAGGTATGATATAGATGGCCTTAGGTATGCTATGTCTAAATCTTTTCATTCAGTTACATTTGTATGGCCACTTCTTTAGTTAATACGGTCGGACCTAAGTTTGTAACTTCAATCATGAGGACGCTCTATCAGCTCCTTCACACGGATCTGATGCATAACCAATCCGCTATGACTTTGGGGGGGAAGGTTTTGAGATCTACACCGATGGAAGATCTCTGGGTTGTTTTTTTTCTTTTGTTTTCTGGTTTATAAGAGATTGTTTTTAAAGTGCAGTGCTCTTGAAATAACAACTTGTGAGTCTCGACAGGAGAGACGAGATGTAGTCAAACCCAGATTACTAAAGGTACAAACTGTATGAGTAGTTATTCAAATATTGATCTAATTTCCTGGAATGTAAGAGGCCTTAGAAAATATATTAAACTGAAAAGAGTAATGGATAGAATAAAACAATATCACCCAAAGATAGTCTTCATTCAAGAAACACACTTACTCGTGAATGAAACTGACCGGATAAGGAGGAGATGGCCAGGTCAGGTTTTCTTTAGCCACTTCTCAACACATGCTAGAGGAGTGGCAATACTCATTCATAAATCAGTGCCCATGTGTATTAAAAAAACCATCTTGGACCCCGCAGGGAGATTCATTATTCTACAATGCTCCGTGCTGAATCAAGATTTAATATTAGTTAATGTATATGGCCCCAATATTGACGACTCCAGCTTTTATAATAATCTATTCCTCTCTATTACAGACCTCCATGGTGAGATAATTGTTGGGGGGGACTTTAATTGTACCCTAGAGCCCAGGCTTGATAGATCATCAGGCTTAGACTCTTCCCATCCAAAATCTAGACAAGTCATACAACACTTTATGTTTGAATTGAATCTTAAAGATATATGGAGATTAAAAATCCAACAGGGAGAGAATATTCTTGCTACTCAGCCAGTCATAATAGCCGCAGTCGCATAGATTATTTTCTTATCTCAAACTTTCTTATCTCCAGAATTAACAGCTGCTCATATAAAAGTGTGCTTATATCTGACCACTCAATAACCACGCTTAACTTCTCAGTCACAGCAGCTTTTAGACGTAACCCTATTTGGCGTTTAAGACCACACTGGCTGCACAATCAAAATATTTTGGAATATGTAGGCAAAAATATTGATGACTATTTCTACTTCAACAAATCCGAAACTACAGCCTCAGTAAGATGGGAAGCTTTTAAGGTCTTTATTCGTGGACAGATGATAGGCTACACCAAAAACAAAGCAAATAAAAACTATACTGAGATGTTGGACCTCGAAGGTCAAATAAAAGAAGTGGAACTTGAGATAAACCTGAATGACTCTAAAGAAAACCAACAAAAACTTTTAAGATTAAGAGCAAAATATGATAAATTAACTACTGAGAAAGCCTCAGCCGGACTATTTAGACTGAGACAGACCTACTATGACCAAGGGGAAAAGGCAGGAAAACTTTTGGCATGGCGTATAAAAACGCTACTGAACGAACAAACAATAAATGAAATTAGAACTGCAGACGAAAATATCACAGATCCTCATAGAATAAATGAACTCTTTGAACACTACTATTCACAACTATATACTTCAACAGGAGATACGACTCGAGAATCACTAGAATCCTTCTTTGACTCAATAAGTACCCCTTTACTTTCTGAAGAAGCCCGATGCGAATTAGACTCTCAGTTATCGATGAATGAACTCTCCATTGCAATTGATAAATTAAAAATGTGAAAAACTCCCGGCCCAGATGGAATTCCACTAGACCTTTTCAAAATATTTAAAGATAAATTAATATTCCCTCTGTACGACATGCTGGTGGAAAGCTATGATTCAAAAGAGCTTCCCCCCTCCTTGCGAAATGCACTTATAACGGTATTCCCTAAGCCTGGGAAACCGCCTACAAAATGTGAATCTTATAGACCAATTTCACTAATAAACTCTGATGCCAAGATAATAAGCAAAGTACTGGCAAACAGACTTGAACGGTACCTTCATCTTCTTGTTGATAATGACCAAAATGGGTTTGTAAAAGGCCGACAAACGCAGCATGGGATTCGCAGAGTACTGAATGTACTTTACACAAACTCAGAACAACTAGACATGGCTCTGCTTTCCTTAGACGCAGAAAAAGCTTTCGATAGGGTCGAACATAATTATCTCTATAAGGTACTATCTCAATTCGGCTTTGGCAACTACTTCATGACCTGGGTTAAAATATTATATAATAAACCTATAGCCTCAGTTAGAACCAACAATATTATATCTAGACCATTCTATCTAGGTAGAGGTACACGTCAAGGCTGTCCCCTCTCACCTCTTCTTTTCGTCCTAGCAATAGAACCACTGGCTATTGCGATAAGGAACAACCAAAACATCTCTGGCATTAGAACAAATAATATTGAGTCTAAAATTGGATTATTTGCAGATGATATTATCTTAATGCTGTCTAAATTAAAGAGTTCAATTCCTCAGCTACTTAAAACAATTAACTTCTTTGGCAATATCTCCAGTTATAAAATTAATGAATCCAAATCGGCCATCCTCTTTTTTTAATCATTCTGAAAGAACTAAACCACCTATTCAAACAACGTTTCAAATTGCCAGAGACAGTCTCACTTATCTAGGTATAAAAATCACTCCAAAAATTAACGCAAATTATTCTCCCACTATCAACTCTGTTGTTGGCTTAATCAATAGATGGTCTATGCTACCAATCTCGATGATTGGACGTGTAAATATTCTCAAAATGAACATCCTTCCAAAATTTCTATATTTCTTCCGAGTCATTCCTCTCAACCCTCCAGATGACTTCTTCACAAAGGCAAAAACAATATTTAGTAAATTCATTTGGAATAACAGACGAGCTAGACTGCGTCTTTCGCTACTATATCTTCCGTATGACAGAGGAGGTCTCTGTGTTCCAAACCTCAAATGGTACTACTGGGCTGCCCAACTCTCTGCGGCCTCATGCTGGTTCTCAACAACTACCCTACCCTGGGTAAATTTAGAAAGGTCAAGTACTAGAGATGGACCGATCCGATATTACGTATCGGTATCGGTCCGATACTGACCTAAATGACTGGATCGGATATCGGAGAAAAATAAAAAATGTAATCCGATCCATTAAATATCACGAAAGCACCTCACAAAACTTGCAACACGCCGTAACTCACCTCAGAACGTTAGCAGTCGGAGCAGTATGCATCACGTGATAGAGCGGCTGTGGCATGCAGGACCTGTCGGTGGTCTGGATAGCATTTGGAGCTTCGCTAGCAACCCGGCATTTCATCTCCGACAAAGTTATCCCCGAGAGAAGTAAAGCAAGTGTGTAAGTCCATCTCTGAATGTTTGTAAAGCATTCCTGCGTTAAGCTTAACAAGCGACTGCCTCTCCTGCTGCTACTTCAATCATGAAACTGCTTAACGATCAGCTGATCGGCTTTTCTGTCGCTAGTCCGTGTCTCTAGTTTGCTTTTGGCCCACTTTGCACCAGAAAGAGGAAACCAGCGGCTGAACAACAGCAGCACGTTTAAGCTTGATCAGCTGTTGTTAGAATTTATTTAATATTACTTTCTACACCAGGATCTTTTTCTACGTAGCTGACGCTGGTAACTGTGCAGGGGCGGATCTAGCAAAGTTTAGCCAGGGGGGCCGATAGGGCATTAACAGGGAAAAGGGGGCACAAAGACATAGTTTTCTTTCTTATTCTCATTTAAAATGTCTAGCTTTTAATAAATAATTATCTGACACCCAAAGTTTTAATTTGATGTAAAATGAATAGAAGTCAATTACTGTATATAGTAACTATTAAGTCTAATATATATACCCTAGTAAGCTATAGTACTTTTTCCTTTGGGAAGGTACCATCTGTGCAGTCTGCAATTTTGTTGAAGAAAGATGTTGAATCTATTTAATATTTCTTGAAAAATAATTGATTTCTGTGCATTTTTTTTCACACTGCATCAAATTAAGGTTGATTACGTCGATTAAGCATCATGAGGTGGAGCGTGAGGGGTGGTTCCCTATTTTTTATTTATTTATTTTTGTTGTTGCTGGGAGTTGGAACCCTATTAGTTAGGTTGCTTAATATTTACGCTAAGTACTCTTTAAAATACCAGAATAGGGAGGATGGTGTAGGTTTAAGTTTATTAGATTGATCAGTATTGCTGAACTATGAAATATATTTTTTTGCATACAGGTATAACAGAATAGCTTTAGTGTAGTTGTTGTTTTAAACTTGAGTATGAACTTATACAAAATGCAGCAAGATATTTAAAAAACAGTTTTGTTGATTAAAAAACACTATATCGGATTCATATCGGTATCGGCAGATATCCAAATTTATGATATCGGTATCGGACATAAAAAAGTGGTATCGTGCCATCTCTATCAAGTACTACCCCCTTACCACTCAGCACTTATCTGTACTCTGCAAAATATAAAGATCTGATGAAAGATACATCAAACCTCTTTGTTAAAAATACTATTCGTGTGCGGTTCGAGGCACTCGAGTTTAAAAATGAAATGCCAGCACTATCCCAATTCTCACCTATCTGGGGCAATAAGGCCTTTAAACCCGGTTGGAAAGATTTGGGCTTTAAAATATGGGCCGACAGAGGCCTGTGCAAAGTTGCAGATCTATTTGACAAGGACACCTTAATATGTTTCAATGGCTTGACACAGAAATTTGACATTCCAACCAAACATTTCTTTAAATTTCTTCAGATCAGAAGCTTCATTTCAAAAACTCAAAAATCTCTAACACTGCCCACCCTAAATTCATTAGAGGATATAGCAATAAACCATCAGCTGAAGAAGGGTTTAATTTCTCGCTTCTACAATAACCTTAGAGACGGCTCTCAAATATCCTCAGAAAAAGAAAGACGCGCATGGTGTCAAGACTTAGAGCGTAGTATAACTACAGAGGAATGGCAAAAAGCTTGCTTGAAAGCTTAAACACAATCTATAAACACTCAATTTAAACTAATTCAGTACAAATGGTTAATGAGAACATATATTACCCCAACATTATTAAATAAATTTGACCCCAAAACTCCGGACATATGTGTTAAATGTCGGGAAAAAGGCACACTGATGCACTGCCTATGGGAATGCTCAGAAATTCAAAAGTTTTGGGAGGAAGTTTTAGAAATAATTGCACATATTACAACTGTCAAATTGGATCCATGTCCTAAATTATGCATCCTAGGAATTTTCCCCGCTGAAACCCAGCTGAGCAAAGCTAACCAAAGAACCACAACCTTCTGCCTGCTACAGGCGAAATACAGTATAGCCAAATCATGGAGATCCACTAGTAGACCACACGTGAGAATTTGGTTATCGACATTGTCAAAAACCCTTGCTCTGGAGAAACTTACGTCTATGATAAAGGGTAAACATGCTTCCTTCAAAAAAATGTGGGGAAATTTTTTGTTATTTTTGGAAGGTGAGGAAATGATCGATAATGTACAGAAATGATTCTATCTATTTAACCTGTATGGAGAAGTAACGTCACAGCTGCTAAAGAAAACCTGGGGAACCTGCGATTGCTGGTCTGCTAAATAGAAGGACAGGAGAAGGGACGTGAAATTAAATGGATTGGAAACTGAAGAGGACGCAGCTTATCATTGCAACCACTAATCTGGATGCCTCTCTAACTAACATGATATCCTTGGATTAAACTTCAGCCCGAAACCCTGGAATGTTATACTTGCTTGATTTTTTTTCTCTCTGGAGCACTATCTGTAAACCTTTGTTTCGGGGTTTTTTTTTTTTTTTTTTTTTTTTTTTTTTTTTTTGTTGTTGGGGGGTTATTTTGGGTTGCATATATTTTTCTGAAATAATATATGAATGATTTTCATGGGAGAGTATATATAATATATCTCTGTGTCCTCCTAACATTAATCATTTACGATGTACATAAATCATTATTATATACTCAGTTTTTTGTTTTTTTTTTGGTTGATGGAAAAGTAATAAAGAATAAAATTTTTAAAAAAGTCAGATCTATTTAATGTGTATTCGTGAAAACATGACAGGGAGTTTTAAATGGACTGGTTCTTATATAGCGCTTTTCTACTCAATCTTGAGCACTCAAAGCGCTTTACAAAACTTGTGCATTCACCCACTCACTCCCATTCGCACAAGCACATTTTTCTTAGTGCTTTCTACCAACATTCAGACACACATTCCACAGATCAAAGAGCAACTTGAGGCAACTTGGAGTTAGTATCTTGCCCAAGGATATTTGAAATGCAGACTAGGTGAAGCCGGGAATCGAACCGATCAGTAGATGATCTGCTCTACCGCCTGAGCTACAGCCACCCCCAATAGTGAAGATTATTTTGAAAAATATCAAGATGTAGATCAGTTTCGAGATCAACTCCAAAATAGATCATCAGTCAGTCAGTAATAAGTGAGTTCTTTTTTGTTTGAAAGGTTTTTTTTACTCTTAATGTTGCTGAAAATGTCAGAACTCAAGTTCTCATTTGCATCAGAGTGCACAAATAACTTCATTTTTACACACTTTTAATTTCACCTGCAAATGTGAGCAACATGCCCTCATTACAGACTTTAACTAAAACTTTATCTTCTCAGAAGTGTTTTTCTATAATTACATTTTTTTTATTGTTCGTTTAGACCTCCACCAGCAAACTGCCTGTAAGGAGGAGGAGTTTGTCGCCAATCAGCAGGAGAGGAACTCAAGTCTGGACCAGGAGGACCCAGATCCTCCACAGATTAAAGAGGAACAGGAGGAACTCTGCACCAGTCAGGAGCTGGAGGAGATTGTACTGAAGCAGGAGATCAATAGTTTTATGGTGACTTCTAGTTTTGAGGAAAGTGACCTCAGTGAATCAGAACCAAACGATGACCAGCTCCTTGCTCTTAACTTTCCTGAACCAGAGCTTGAGGAACAGGAAGAAAACCAGCATGTGGACTCGGGATCAACTAGAAATGCGGAGCTGAAGAAAAGGAGACGTCACAAAAACCGAACAGATAAGTCTCGGAGTGAAACTGATACAAGTAAAAAATCTGTAAGCTGTGACACTTGTGGAAAAACTTTTCAGTGTAAATCCAACCTGACGAGACACATGAGAGTTCACACAAGTGAGAAGCCACATTCTTGTAGCACCTGTGGGAAAAGATTCATTTGGAAATCAGGATTGGAAACTCACGTAAGGATCCACACAGGTGAGAAGCCGTATTTTTGCATCACCTGTGGGAAAAGATTTAATAAGAAATCCGGATTTGAAAGTCACGTGAGAATCCACACAGGCGAGAAGCCGTATTTCTGTAGCACATGTGGGAAAAGATTTGGTAAGAAATCAGGACTAGAAACTCATTTGAGAATCCACACCGGTGAGAAAGCGTATTCTTGCAACGTCTGTAGGAAAGAGTTTAGAGACTTGTCGACTATGAAAAGTCACAGAAGGATCCACACAGGTGAGAAACCATATATTTGTAGCTCCTGTGGGGAAAGATTCAGTTGGAAATCAGGACTGAATTTTCATCTAAGGATCCACCTGAGTGACAAACCAAATCACTGCAGCACCCGAGGTAGAAAATGACCTCATGCTCCAAGTCACGGTACATTTCCTGTCCACAGCAGTGAAGGGCACTCTATGTTGTTTGTTCCAGCCCTGACTTTATGTTTCTCTAAGTTTGATATTTTTTTATTGGTCTTTAAAGGTGACACAAATATTTATTGAACATGGATGCTCTTTTAATATTTACCACAGAAACTTGTATTTCTTCTTCAGTATAGAAGAAAACAAACATGAAAATGAGTTTTTCATCACTTGTTCCTTGTAACAACCATGATGTGATTCCTTTTTATCAGCCAATAAATAAGTTTTGATACACAGGACTAAAGATTTAAAAAAAGTTCAAGACAAGTATACAATTTTTATTTAAATATGTTTTCTTTGTGATTTATGTTAATGAAGGTTATACTTCAGCATGGCTTTGACCTGGTTGTCCTGGTTCTTCTTAGCAACATGTTGCAAGATTTGATTAAAATGTTTGTGACTAATTTTGTGTATTGTGTAATCCCTGCTAAATAAAAGCAGTTAAATGTGCTATATTGGCTCATGATAAGTGTTTATATCATTTTGCCTAAATGCAAGTAAACTCAATGTTTGCCAACTCTGTGTGTGCAGTTTGCTTCATAAGTACAGTATTAGAACTTGAACTACATGGAGCCTATTTTGATTACATCATTACAGATGTAGATATTATTCATAGTTCATATTTCACAGTGTGCTGCAATCTTCTCCACAGACCTGCATTGCTCTCTGTTCAGACCCGTCATCTTCAAGATGTCCACTAGATGTCGTCAGAGTTCCCCCACTTTCCTCATCTATTGTGTTGCCATTACGTGAGCCTGCTTAAAACCTACAGTCCTTTACATATGGGTTCATTCAGGGTCATGTTTAGTGGGCAGGTTTAGTACGATGAAGGAAACTCGTTTTCTTTAACTTTACCTCTCAGTAAGTAACTGGAGTAACAGACTCACTGATTCCTCCCCACCTGCTGGACATGAACCAGCTGACTGACACTTGTTTTCATTTTCTCATTCATAAAGTTGCTACCAGTTCAATTCATTTATATTTATATATAGTGCCAAAAAACAACAGTTGCCTCAAGGTGCTTTATATTGTAAGGTAAAGAATGTAAAAACCTCCACAATTGAACAAGCTGAAAAGAGCAAATGCTTGGCAGCAGTGGCAGAAACAGGCTGTCTGTCGTAATCACTGTAAAACACTAATCACTGGTCAGTCATTTGTTGTGTTGCAATCGGTTACACTGAGGGAAAAAATTTCACAACTGGATCTCGGAGATAATGTGAATATTTGTGAAAATATGTGAAGATGAGGCTGAAATAACTCTGAGACTCTAAAACATGATGAAATGCTTACATATTGAAATGTGTGTAGTAACATGACCTACAGCTTGTTTAAGAACTCGTGATTTTTTTCCCCTGTTGGCATAAGGTGAAATCCTGCATAAAGGAGGTGACCTTTGCTCCCTGACTCAGACGTGATAAACATGACCCAAATCATTCACGTTGGTGCCAAATAATGTTTTGTTAAAGTTTAACAAGCTTTCCCAGCCTGAAACTGCCAGACAAACAAATCACCTGTTGGAGATGCTGGTTTAGCTCCCTGGGTAAAGTGGGTGACCCAGATGCTAAAGCCCAGCTATGACTCCTGCCTGAGGACTTTTAGTCTTGGTTTGCATCCAACTTTTCTGCCACAATAGTTCAATTTTCTTAATAAAACACCAAATTACAACAAGTTACCTCGAGGCAGTTTATATTGAAGGCACTTTATTTGAAGGTAAAGATCCGACAATAATACAGAGAAACAACAGGTAGAAGCAATGGAAGATTGAAAATAACGGTTGTCATTACTTTTCATTCAGTCATAAGATACAGAAACACCATCTGTTGTGTGTAAAGATGAACAGTAGGGGTAGGGTGATTTTCACCAGATCAAAGCCATGGATTCACAATTATGGTTTGGTGCTGTTGAGTACCTGGATAGAAAATGCACATGTGGAATGGTAGAAAGTGTTCAGCATGCTTTGATGATCTGCTTCAACTATGCTGGGGTGAGCATTACAGACTGCTTCTTAAATTTAATAACCAAATTGCATCAATGGGGAACTATAAATTCTACATTTGGATTTCTGATTATTATTTCTGGCTGATTTTCATTAGATCGACCTGAGTAGGGCAGCGACAGATGTGTGCGGTCCAGAAGAAGAAGAAGAAGAAAGAGGAGAGCAGAAATGATGACATTCTAGGCTCGCTTTTCACCTTTGATGTACTCTTAGCTGGAAGACTTTGGTTTGGTGATGTGTTAGAGATAATTTAGTGGTTGAAGCTACTGTGGACTGACCAGATCTGCCATCAGCTCAGAGTGCTGGATATCACCGCAAACCTGAGACAAAGTCATACAGAACAGGTGTGTAAAACTGTGATGGTCACTGTGATGGCTGCATGCAACCACACAACTGAGACACTTAGTAATATTCATTTGGTCTTTTGTCTTATGTTTACGTTATGCTTTAAAGTTTCTGTGATCATAAGTTAACTAATTTGACGTTTTGAGGTTACCTGTAGTGATGTGACGTTCTGTATCGAGGCTTCGGAGCGTGTGTCGGGTAATTGAGGGGGCGTTTCCGCGATGCGCGTATCGAGGCTTGCTTCATTTATGGGAGGAGCTGAAAATGATGACGTCCGAAGCCTCGCTGCCCGGCTGTACCACGTGACTGGTTCATGAAGTGGTTCGAACTTTGCCGCGAGATATGACAGCGATATAAACCCTCAGACTTCATTCAAAATGTGGGTGTTTGATGGAGAGTTGCGGTTAGTGAGAGTTTGGAGACAGTTTGGAGGTTTATGAGAGTGAGGAGAGAAAGTCAGGAGAGAATGGAGCCAGCTAAGAAGAGGAGGATGTCCTCCCCTGTGTGGGAACATTGTGATTTTATTCCTCCCAACAAGGTATGTAAATTTCTACAGAAGATGTATTTTCATAATACTGATGCTGCAATACAATTTATGTTGAGCTGTCTTGACTTTTGTACAAGGTGAAGTGTTTGCTATGTGCCAGGGAGCTGGGATATAACAACAACACCTCATCCATGCTTAGGCACTACAGAGCTTTGCATGAGAATAAGGGGGACACCGATTGTGGAGCAAGACCAGGTGAGCCATCAAATGCCATGATAATATAGCATGCAGTAATGTTACTAAATGATATAACAATATTATACAACTGTTATAAGTTACATGTGTGATATTTATATTTGTGCTTTGTCTTTATTGTCTTTCCTCAGGAGAACAATCTCAAATAGATGAAGACCTGGTCAGCATGGTGATTGAGGACTCACAGCCATTTAGCATTGTGGAGGACAAAGGATTCAAAAGATGTGTTAAATCATTAAATCCTAGCTATGTTCTCCCCACTAAAAAGGCCATAAAAGCAGTGAAAATTTAGTTTTTACAGAATAAAATGTGAACAGGCAGGACTGTGTAGCTGTCCATACCTCAACGTTACAACCGCACAACCACTGTCCACACCCCAACCACACCTCACCTCACAGTAAATGATCATTTGCATTTTAAGCATTTCCAAATAATCATTTTCCATACTGCCAGTATAAATATACACAGTATACTGCCATCACTACAATATACATGTTTTACACACTCCTTTTGTTGTTGACATTTACAGGCTGTGTGCAAAAGGCCACACTCTTCAAATTCATGCCAGCTATTATTTTTACGTCCAGTAGGTGTCCTACTAGAGCAAATGAAGCTTCAAGAAGCTTTGCGCTGGGGTGAACCAATTGGATGAAAAGCTTCAGTGCTTCACGAAGCTTCATCTGCCCATCACTAGCATAGACTTTGCTTTGCATTGTTTGTTATTTTATATAGGTATGTTATATTGATTATATTTCTGCTCTTTCTGAGTTACCTGACCTCCGCTCCAGTCCTTCCTGGTTTGGCTGAAAGAGGAGGCTGAGGGTGGAGCTGGTTTAAATGCAGAAGCCAATAAAGTGGACTGGACCATCTATTGTGATCATGCAGGGGGAATGGGGTTCTTCTTGAATGATGGTTATCTGTTATCCCTTTAGTTTTCACCTTTGGTTTATATAATGGTTTATTCATTTGCTATATAACTGGAGCTGTTTCTCATTTGGGCAGGTCAGTTTGAGTTATGTTTTTGTTAAGTGATTTTTGAGTAGCGGTCTGTTAAGGTAACCTCTTTTATGGGCCCACTTGGTTCTTACAAACTTTATTTTTTGTTATTTAGAATTTTTGTAATCATTTTGTCCTTTTTGGGGTATAATAAAACCCATTTTTTTGAAGATTACATTTGTGCCTGTGTGTTCCTGGCGGCTTGGATCATGACAATTGGTGGCAGCAGTGGGATTCAGCCAGTGTAAAAGAAAAAATACACACACAAAAAAGGCACAGGTTTTTTTTTGTTTTTTTTTCTCTTTCCCCCCCACTCCTTATCAAACCATGCAGAGGAGCACGGAGTGCGAGAGCAGTCCGAGGAGATGTACCAAGCCAGCAAATGGGCTCAGAAGGACAAGTCGATGGAGAACAGGAGGAGAATGGAACTTCTGGAGGGGTAGACAGCACTGAGGGCCGAGGTAGGGAACCAACGATATCGGATCTGATCTCTCTTCTCCGTTCACATATGGGGCAGCAGGAGGCCAGAGAGGTTAAACAGAAGGAGGAAAGTGCAAAGCAAGAAGAACATTTTAAAGCACTTCAACACCAGTTTCAGTTGTTACAGGTAGAAGTACAAGCCCGCACTTCTCCAGTGCCTGAAGGTCAGGCAGCTGAATCACCTGATCCAGAATCTCTAGATGACGACATTGTTCCTCAAGCTGGTCCTAGTATATCAGCTACTGGTTTATCAGGTCAGTCCCATTTTCTGGAGCCTAAGTTGCAAAAACTTACCAACGAGGATGATATTGAACATTTTTTGATTACCTTCGAACGCATTGCACTGGCCTGTCGGTGGCGGAGACATGATTGGGTTTTTCACCTTGTACCGCTGCTTACGGGCAAAGCAAGAGGTGCATATGTACATATGGATGTTGATGATTCTTTGGATTATGATAAGGTTAAGGCAGCTATTCTTTATAAACATGATATCAATCCTGAGACCTATAGGCAGAGATTTCGATCTCTTGATGTAAACCCTGCAGAAAGCCCTAAAGAGTTGTATGCACAGCTGAAGGAGCTTTATGTAAAATGGGTCCACCCTGAAGATAAAACCGTTCAGGACATTGGGGAAATCATCATTCTTGAGCAATATTTACGAATGCTATCTCCTGAGTTGCAGGTGTGGATAAAAGAGCATAATCCACCCTCTGCTGCAGAGGCTGCAAAGCTGGCTGATGTTTTTGTGGCGGCACGGAAAAAGGGACAGCCTTGGAGCTTTATGACTTGGAAAACGAAGGACAGCCGGAAATCACTCCCGCAGAGACGAGCTGCCAATGTGAGTAGGGCTTCATATAGCCATTCACCCGATGGGTCTTTGAAGTCCCCGGCCAAAACCTTGGTATGCTATCTTTGTGGTATGGAAGGTCATACAAAGCCCATGTGCCCTGAAAACTCA